GAGAGATGGAGGCAAGAGAATCACCTGAGCCTAGGAGTTGGGGGTTGTTGTGAGCTGTGATGCCACGGTCCTCTACCTAGGGCAACAGCTTGAGGCTCTGTCTCAAAAAAAAAAAAAAAAAGGAACAATGAACATGAATAGACATTTCTTAAAAGCAGATAGACACATAGTAGGCAGATGAAAAAATGCGCAACATCTGGGAAATGCACATCAGAATGGCTATTACTACAAAGACAAAAAAGTAATGAGCTGGCAAGGATGTGGAGAAATGGGGATTCTTATACACTCTTGGTGGAGATAAAAAGCAGTATAGAGATTTTTTGAAAAACTAAAATCAAGCTACCAATCTAGCAATCCCACTACTGGGTATTTGCCCAAAGGAAAAGAAATAGTATCAAAGGGACACCTGCACCCCCACCATGTTTAGTGCAGCACTGTCCCATTAGTCAAGATATCAACCATCAACCAAGGTGTTTGTCAATGGATGAACAGATAAAGAAAATGTGGCATATACACACAGTGAAATATAGGGTGTCCCAAAAGTTGCCCCTAAAGTCACCGTACATAGGGACATCCTGTAATACTGTCACAAAAAAAGAATGACGTCATGGCACGTGCAACAACATGAACAGAACTTATGGACATTAAGTGAAATAATTCAGACCCAGTAAAACAAATATCACGTGTTCTCACTCATATGTGAGAGCTAAAAAAAGCTGATCTCACAGAGATAGAGCAGAATGATAGATATCAGAGGCTGGAAATGACATGTGGGTTGAGGTAGAAGAACGGAGAGGTTGGTTAATTAGTACATACATACAGTTAGAAAAAATTTCCAAGGTTAGATAGCAGAGTAGGGCAACCATAGTTCACAACAATGTACTATCTATTTCAAAATAGCTGAAGGAGAGAACTTGAAATGTTCCCAAGGCAATAATAAATACTCTAGGTGACGGACACTGTAAATACACTGACTTGATCATTACACATGCTATGCATGTAACAAAATATCATATACACACCATAAATATGTACAAATACAATGCATCAGTACAAAAAGGTAAATCTAAAACAAACCTGAGATTCAATCAGATGATTATAGGACTCTCCCACTACCCAACACCTCATCACACCAACAAAGCCGCAGTCAGGAAAATAGTGGCTTGTAATTAAAAGAGATACAAGACACAGACTCTCTCTGAGGAGGGCTTAAGCGAAGGCCAAAGTCAAGAAGAGAGTTTCAAAAGAGCACACTGGAAGAAGCCTCGAGGCCTCTGGCACCTACAGCTACAGCAAACATTAATTGCTGCCCAACTACCACACTGATTAACAAATCTTCACACTAAAGACCTATTTACCTCATTCCTCTTTCCCAATACGGTATGTTCATCCTTCAACAAACAAAAAAATGACAATGCATGCCAAAAGTCACGAAAAAAAAAATCTGAAAACACAAAGCAAGTATCAGAATAAGACTCAGATAGGACAATGTTGAAATCACAGGCAGAAAATATAGAATTTAGGCTCGGTTCCTATAGCTCAACCGGCTAAGGCGCCAGCCACGTACACCTAAGGTGGCGGGTTCAAATCCCCAGCCCGGACCCGCCAAACAACAATGACGGCTGCAACTAAAAAATAGCCAGGCGTTGTGGCGGGCACCTGTGGTCCCAGCTACTTGGGAGGCGGAGGCAGGAGACTCGCTTGAGCCCAGGAGTTGGAGGTTGCTGTGAGCTGTAATGCTACAGCACTCTACCCAGGGTGACAGCTTGAGGCTCTGTCTCAAAAAAAAAAAAAAGAAAGAAAGAAAATATAGAATTTAAATAATTATGATTAATATTTTAAGGGCTCTAATGGAAAAAGTAGACAACATGAAAGACAGAAATTTGAAGAACTGAAAGAAAATAATAAAACTGTAACAAATTTCTGTAATAGAAATGAGGAACGCGTTGATGGGGTTCCAATAGACTGAACATGGTAGAAGAAGCAGTGAACTTGACGGTATAAACCACCCAAACTGAAGTATATATATAAAAAAAAAAAATGATGGAAAAACAGAACACCCAAGAAATGCAGGACAACTTCAAAATGCATAATGTATCATAAAAGGAATATCAAAAAGGAAAAAAGAGAAAATGGAGAAATATTAGAATAATGACAACCAACTTTCCAAAATTAATGATATCCAACCACAAACCCAGAAAGCTGAGAACACCAAAAATAAACAATAACAACAAAATCAACACCGAGGCATTATATTCAATCTGCAGAAAACCAGAAGACGAGGGAAATTTTTGAAAGAAGTTAAAGAAAAAGAACGTATTACCAATAGTGGGAGAAGGATAAAATTACAACAGACTTCTGGGTGAAAAACTATGTAAGCAAGAAGAAAGTGAAATTAAATATTTGAAGTGTAGAGAGTAAAAGGCCAGCAAAACTGCACTACAGAAAATGGAAAGATATATTTATTGGTCGAATGAAAATGATGTGGGTTAGAAGCTTGGATCTATATAAAGTAGAAAATCACAAGAAAAATAAAATGCAAACAAAATCTTATTTTTCTTTTAATTGATCTAAAAGATAGCTGTTCCTTTAATAATACTAACAATGAATCAGATGATTGTAGCATACAGATAAGTGAGATGAAGGACAGCAACAGTGAAGGGGCAGAAATGAGGGACTGGGAATACACTGATATGAAATACTTGAATTTCACTTGGAGGCAGGTTTAGATTAGGAAACAATGTATATTGAAACTCTACAGCAACCATTAAGAATTTTTTCCAGGTGGTGCCTGTGGCTTAGTGAGTAGGGCGCTGGTATACCAAGGGTGGCAGTTTCAAACCCAGCCCTTGACAAACTGCAACAAAAAATAGCCAGGCGTTGTGGTGGGCACCTATAATCCCCAGCTACTCGGGAGGCTGAGGCAAGAGAATCACTGAAGCCCAGGAGTTTGAGGTTGCTGTGAGCTGTGACACTACAGCACTCTACGGAGGGTGACATACTGAGACTCATCTCAAAAGAAAAAGAATTTTTTCCAAAAGTGTATTTGGTATGCAGGAGACAAATGGAATCATAAAATACTCAAAACTGGAGGAAGACCCAAAAAGGCAACAAATGGGAAAGAGCAGACACTCATCCAATTACATCAATTGTCATTTCAAATGCAAAAGGTTCTTCTGATTGATCATTCTGTTCTAGAAGACAGATTAAGTATTTTAGGGTGGTGATGAACAGAATATCAAGGCAACAGTTTTGATTTGTTCAAAGCAAGTCTCTTGGCCACAGGAAAAACAGATAAAGGTTACCAATAGCTAGTGATCAAAGCAACAGGTTTCCTAGTTAATTTGAAACCTGATTGTCTTTTGTACACTGGTGGTCAAATTAAGGTTGGCATGCATTGTCATTTTATGTGACACTTATTAAGTTTATGAGGTATTTATCAAATTGATCAATTTTAGTATGTGCCTGGGAGAGAAAATATACAGCAATTAGGGTACTGGCAAAATTTTCTGATTATCTTAAGGTGGGAATTTCTTATTGCTTAGTCCAAAGTCAGAGTTACTCTAGTTTTTTGTTTTTATTTATTTTTTGTTGTTGAGGATTATTGATACTCTACTTAGCTTTAACCAAAAAACAGCCAGGCGTTGTGGCGGGCACCTATAATCCCAGCTACTCGGGAGGCTGAGGCAAGAGAATCGCTTAAGCCCAGGAGTTTGAGGTTGCTGTGAGCTGTAGATGGAGATGGAGATCTACCGTAGATGGAGACGTCTCTCACTGCATACTTACCAAAAAGTTTATGAAAGCTCAGTGTTGGTGGGATGGAGGAATAGTGGAAACTGGACTCCCATGAGATTTTCACCACTTACCAGTTGCAAGCTCTTGGACAAGTGATTTAATATATCTGAGTCATGTTGGTTGGCTGATCTGTAAAACGAGGATAATAACTACACTTTGTAATAGTACAGGGTTAACAAGCTAATACAGGTGAATTGCTTAACTTGTAAAGTATGGGGGGAGGGGGTTGAGGGAAGAAAGGTATTGAAAAAGCACACATCCTTATTCAGACAGGTGTTATCAAGTGCACCGCAGCTCTCCAGAACACAGTGAGATTTCTTTGCCCTTCCTGGACTTTACAAACCACAGAACCAGAAGGTAAGTTAATTCATAAATTAGCGCAGTCAGGGAATTTCTTAGTAGTATGTGGCATGTAAACTCATGGAAGTAATTTTATGTAATTATTTCTACTTTCATAGAAAAAATTCTATTTGTAACATGTGCTCACAATTCATTTCCACTTAATTTATCTTCCCTTTCCACGTGCAGTAGTCAAAGTTAGTGAAAGGCCGTAACAGTTAAATACAGACCTATTCTAGAATCCTACCCCACTTGCCCTAGGAGGCCACCAGACATTTTCTCCATCTGACACACAAGTTCGAAACTCCACAGAGGAAAGATTTACTGGTTTACGTTTCTAACCTCTCTGAACGCAGCCTTTAACAAAGGCCTCCACTTTTGATACCCTCCTTTCCTTACTACCCTAGAAATAATGATCATCGTTATCTTTTCTTTTTAAAGAGCTCTTTTCCTATTACCATTGAGTATCAAAGTACTGTTATTCTATTTCTCACTTCGGATTTACTTTTCTGTCTAAACTGGAGAAGTCACAGTGCTTCTAATTACGGGGTGGGGGGAGTGACTTTGTTGAGAATCAGAGAATGCAAAATTATTAATAAACAGTGGTTCTACAGTTTGAATTGAACTCACCTGTGATTCTTCTTATATATTTTAGAAAAATATATAGGGCTACTGAAGCTTAAAATACATTTTAAGGAATCCCAAGGAGGGGGAAGAAAAAAAAGCCAGATAATTACTGAAAATCCCACATCCAACATACAAAGTGAGTGAAGACATTGTGCAACTCATTTTCTATTCGCCTTGTTTTAATAATGCACTTCAGGCCTTGGTGAAGGGCAAGAACACACCAGAAATAACAGCCACTCATTTTAAGTTTCAGTTTTTATTAAAAAGTGCATTTTGATTAATTTATGACCTAGGTAAGCTGTAAGATATCAGTATCTTCTCTGGAATAGTAACTTTACAAAGATTTAAAACAAACAAAATTTTAAAAGCCTTTTTTTATTTCCTTCACCATTATTGTTTTACAATACAAATATCACCTTGTGAATACACACAAAAAAAAAAACCCTACGGAAGATAATTCTGTTGCACGTAAAATACAGAATGGATATATATACTTCTTCATTCTTAAAAAACTATTTTGTTCTCCACGTTGGCAAGTGTAGAATAGAATACTTCCCCAAACATATGTATGTTAGGAGTAAAACTCAGAATTACATGCAGTTTCTGCACAAATATATTTTAAAGAAATAGATCTCTTTTTTTTGCTGTTCACCAACAAAATTGTCATGAGGGTATGGATAACTAATTCATAGCTTTCAAGTTTTAGGGTAAGTGATCATTTTCAAAACTCTCTTTTAAAAAAAGATATTCATGGCTGTTTTTTCATTGAGTAGTTAAAACTGAACTACCAAATAGACGATAAAGTAATTTAAGTGGTACATGTCATTGGCACTTGTTCGCAATATGTGAACAGGCTCTGACTCTAATTAACATCCCCATTCTTTATTCACTGCAACTTTAAAACCATAAACAGTCTTCTGATTTAATTTAGCTATAAATGCAAAATTTAGTAGTGTATATATATATTTATATTTTCATGGAATACTTTATTTTAAATAAAAACACTTAAGATTGCCTACTGACCATACAATCAAGACAAGAAAGGCACTAGAAACATAGACAAATTTCTCTCCCAAGACGCGTGTTTAACTTCCCTCTCTCTGACATGTAAAAATCTTTAAATTTGGTTTCATAACATCATTTTGAAAAATAAAGTTAGGAAATACTTAGAAAATCACTGTTATAACAGAATTTTTTTTTTTTGCACTTTTTGACACACTGTCTCTGCTGATTTTACAAAACCCAAAGTTACCAAACCTTTCTGCGTCTGTCATTTTCATTTGAATATCGGTGCAATAGGTAGAAAGATTTCAGAATCAAACCCCATTCAGGTACTTAGAAACCTTCATAGAGACATTTGCTAGAAAATGGCTTTCAGCCCAATCTTTGGGGCAAGAGATATGAAAAGTATGTTTTCCCAAGAAAATAATATACTTTATTTCCAGATGTAACTGGAAAGACCAGAACTTATGATATAAAAGCTTACATTTATGCTGTTGCATCATATACAAAGGAACATGGTAGTCGCGGGTTATGTGAATCCCAAACTTATGAACAGGAGATGTGTACAGTGCATGATAGGTGAAATTTTTCTTTATTGTTGTCCAACTCAGGTCCTTTGGAGAGAAAAAAAGATCACAGTGCTGACCAGGTAACTCAATAGGTTAAGTCAAGGTAACCGTTGAAAGATAACAGGATGAGGGAGGTGTTTATTTTATGGCATCTTCTCTCATGGAGTTCTTAGCACTTCGGACAATTCGTCTTCCCCTCACTGGGTACAGCTGTTATGTGTCGTTCACCAGCCGGCTGTATTTAACTTGCCTACTGAGGTGCACTACTGGCCAGGGGAAAGGCCAATGGTAAGATCGAGGTACAATTCCTTGGACATTCTTTTCAAAGTACTGAAATGGCCTGTACCACCACACCCTGGCCAGGAGGTTCATCTGGGAAGCTTCCTTTAGCACCTAAGATAACAACAAAACAAAACAAAACATAGATTTCTCACAGTCTTTGACTTTAAGTTCAAATACTTTCCATGTTAAAATCCTCAAAGGTCCCCAGACCTGTGTCATGCCCACCCACCCATCCCAGCTTCTCCCACAAGGCACCCTTCTATAGTCTGCACTCATCTGGAAACTGGGCACCCCTCAGTGGAGAAACCACCCCCAATCCTGCAGGGCAGGGAGAACTTGTCTCTCACTTGTCTCTTGCCTGTAAGTAAATACCCTGGTTAGCTTTTCAGTTATTCTTTTACACTAAAAATAGAAAGACCTAATTAAATGCTAAGCATTAAGCTGGTGATGGGCCCAAGACAGGGTGAAGAGGACAGAACCGCAAATCAAGCAATGAGTGGATGTACGTAGGCTTAGAAAAGACTTTTCATGGACATGAGAGTGAGATACCATTGTTCTAGAAGGAAGCAATCTCCTACGCCCTTATATTAACACACTTTTCATCTCGATTATGAAGAGGATCAGTGTCACAAAAGATGACACAATCCTGTGAGGCTAACATCCACGGATTCTCTACCCCCTACTCCCCCACCCCCACCCCAAACCAGCACTGCCAAGCCAGGAGCAATGGATGCCAACATCAAAATTAAATGGAGGAAAAACTCACTTGCTGATTGGCCATAGTGTGATACCACCAGAAGAGTCTCGTGGTGATGTAATATGCCACCACCACGTCCACAGTGTAGTGGTCATGCGCTAAGAGAATACAGAAGATTCCAACCACGCTGAGAAGCCAGCAAATCCAGTGATACCACCAGAGCCGCCGAGGGGAATCTGAAAGGAGAGGAAATTGCAATAGTCCCATTATTCAGAAGACACCAAGGGCACCTACCCATGCTTCTATTAGTGCTTCTGAATCAATTACCTTTGGTCTTTCCTTCTGAAAATGGATCTCTTGGGATACCGAATCTAAGGGCTTTTGCTTATCTATAATCAAGGTTAGAATGGAAACAGCTATTTATAAAGTGATTTACTAGCAATACTAATTCGTGTTTGGTTATTACATGATGCAAATAAGCATAAATATAGTTAAGAGATGAATCTAATCAAGTAAGGATAGGTTAATGCATTATGTTCCATTTAAAAAAAATCCATTAATATTTAATTAAACTCACTTGTAGCTAATCTGGGGTTAATGCTCTATTCAAAAATCAACACCTATTACTCCAAAGACTCTCACAGAAGGACTAAGGAGTGATAATTGATACATCTGTCTTATTTCCTTTTCCTTTCCAAGTTCTACAAATAAGGTAAGTATAGACGAATCTGAAAGTCTCTGGGATTTCTGCTTCTCAAATACAAATAGTTTTCTTTTGGATCCAAGTGCCTTCCCACAAGTGGGACAGTTTCAGATAAATATTTTCTGTCCCCTCACCTGGGACATCCCCTGAGAGAAACACCCAGATCTCTGTCAGTGCCTTTCTGCCTCACATTCTCAATGAACAGGGATTCAGAGGGTCTGAAATTTTTGGCAAAGCATTTGAATGTGATCTACCCCTGATGCATCAGAGGGGGAGGTTCAGGCTTTTACTAAATTATCAAGGGGTCCAAGAACCAGTCATTTGTTAAACCAATATTCACTGAGCACCTTAGTAAGCCAGGGACAGGCACAGCTCTAGAGCCTGGGCCCACAAATCAAACAGGCAAAAGCTGCCATTGCGGGAAGATCCCTTCCTAGCAGGGAAGAGAGACAAGACACAATAATTATAATAAAGAAATCACACACTATGTTAGGTGTTAAAGCCTATAGGAAAAAACGTTGAGCTGGGTAAGGGAGAGCAGAAATAGAGGGAGGGAAGGGAAGTTTGCAAATTTAAATCGTGATTCGTGTAGCCAGTTAGTTAATATTCCACTCATATTTTTATTTGAGACCTTAACAATACAGCAACGAATGGAAGCTACCATTCATTCTCTGTGCCACTTTGAGTACTCACATGTCATCTGTTTTAACTTTAATTTTTATAATTTCTTCCCCATCCAAGCAATAGATATCAATATCTCATCCAAAAGGTGAAAAAACTAAAACTTAAGAAAGGTTTCCCCAGGGTCACAGAATTAGTAAATGATAGCACCAAAATCAGAATTTTGTGTTTCCCCACATGGCACACTGCCTTGTCATCAAGGAGGATAAGTCTTGACACCATTAAAGGATTTCAGGTATTGGCCAGAAGGGGGCAGGATTCCCTTCCTCGGAGCTGCTATTCTCTGGCCATCATGGTTCCCATTTTCCAAACCCAGTTAGTTATATCCTGGTTCAAGGGGGAGACATGCCTTTTACAGTTCTGATTACACATTACTAAAATTTACTATGTTCTGTCACATACTAAGTATAAGCAAAACAGCATTCATTCTCCCTTTTCTATCTCCACACCCTGAAGTGTACCTTTTCTTCCCTTCCGTTGTTCCCTTATCTTAGCCGGGGGGGG